GTATTGTGTAAGTGCGTTGAGTGTATCTCTGTGAGTAGTGTGCGTGCAGAGACCGGTTTGATGAAAATAGCTGCAGACAATGACACACCCAGACTCACAAGAGCAGACACGAGTCAGGGAGGGTGTGTAAGAGGGCTCAGTGGGGGAGTGAGTGAGTGGTTGAGTTAAGTCAGTGAGTGGAGAGGGTGAGTGAGTGGAGAGGGTGAGTGAGTGAGTGGGTGAGTGGGTGAGCGGATGGACGAGTGTGGGAGCGTGTGCAATTAGTGGGTGGGTGAGTGATTGGGTGGGTGAGTGATTGGGTGGGTGAGTGATTGGGTGGGTGAGTGGGTGGATGAGTGATTGGGTGGGTGAGTGATTGGGTGAGTGGGTGGGTGAGTGATTGAGTGGGTGAGTGGGTTAGTGGGTAGGTGAGTGAGTGGGTGAGTGGGTGGGTGAGTGGGTGGGTGGGTGAGTGATTGAGTGAGGGGGTGAGTGATTGAGTGAGGGGGTGAGAGTGAGTGGGTGGGTGGGTGAGTGATTGAGTGAGTGTCTGTTTAAGGGGGGTGAAGTGGATGAGTGGTTGGGTGAGTGAGTAATTGGCTAAGTGAGTGAGTGGGTGAGTGCTTGGTTAAGGTGTGTAAGTGGATGAGTGGGTGGGTGAGTGGATACATGGGTGAGTGAGAAAGTGGGTGGATTAGAACTGGGTAGATGCGTGTTGGGGTGAGTGAGTGGGTGAGCGAGAGTGGGTGGGTGAGCAGAATAGTCGAGAAGAGTTGGTGAGTGGGTAAGTGGATGGATAAGGGAATGGGAGAGTGATGGAATTGGGAAGTGGGTGGGTAAATGGGTGAATGATTGATGATTGAACGAGCGGGTGAATGAGTGTGCAAGTGGGTGATTGAGTCAGTGTTTATATTCATTAAAATCACGATCATCAACAACAATTGGTATTCACCACTAAAGTGGCGGTGACGTCACCATGGCACCTGTACCAGGCTAGGTGCACTTTGAGGCCACGAGAAGTACCGACGGCTCGCTGGCAGGAGGTCACAGGACAGACCCAGCAGGTGACATTGGTCGACTGACTGAGATGACTGGCAGATGCACCACTTGTGCCCAATATTGTGCCCACTCGCTGTGTTTTAGCCACCGGGCGCTCCGCTCGTTGTTGTGAGCGTCGCTCCTCTGCCCTCCGTTGTTGTTGGAGGGCGACTGCCTCCAACTGCCCAGTAGCAGCGTCCTTCACAAGCCTCCTCCACAAAGGCCGATCTTGACACCGCTGGTACCAGTCATCGGCAAATTCCACATCCTCCTGTACCGCATCATTCCATCTCTTCTCTAGCCCATGCCGTGCCCATTTAGCCACCTCTATCTGGCCAAACAGAAGCTGCTTGGGCATGCGATGGTTGAGCATGCGGGCTACATGACCCAGCCTGTCAGAGGAGCTCACTGATGGGACCGTGTCCAGATCTATCGAGGATTTGCGAGCTCCTCACACAATCCAGTCTGGTGAAAACAAGATGGATAGTAGGCAGGCTAGTCTGAATGTCTCTAATTAGCAAAGATGTTCCATTAGACCAGGGGGTGGGGAACGTCCGGCCCACGGGACATATGAGGCCCGAGAAATCATTTGGCCTGGCCCTGCCAAGGCAACCGCAGGAGCAAACCTGGAAAAGCAGTTGCGAGTAGCAGCAACATCATCAACACCGGCTAACATCACACACGCCTCGCCAAAGAGAAGTGGTTCCAGCCATCGCATTAGGGGCGAGTTAATTAAATATTTGACCAAATATAACGGGCTAATTTTTAAGTTGATAATTTTAGCATGGCCCGCGAATGTTGTTATAAATATCCAAATGGCCCTTGGCAGGAAAGAGGCTCCCCAGTAGACAGAGCAGGTAGCTGCCACATGGCATTACGCAGGTGATGAAAAGATAATGCCGGGCGACTGATCGGGAGAGAGAAACCGCTCCACACCTGCACTGTCACTCGGTGGGCGGAGAGGTATTTGATGGCGTATAATGCCCAGGCAGGTGCTTCGATTTGGAGCGGATGAAGGAAAAGCCCCACCTCTCAGTGGCATGTTCAAGGTTAAGCGGCAGAATTTCCATCTCAGAGTGAGCAGATCATCAGCAAACACAACATGGTTGACCAATAGGGAGCTACCCCTTGACTGCACCCATGCATAGATCAGCCTCCCATTGTTTCTGTACCAGGTGGACATTCCTCTGGTAAAACAATGGATAGTTTCTCGAACTATGTGATCAAAATCGATGTTAAATTATGTGGGGAGCTAGATGACATCCCTGTCACAGCCAAAATGAGCAGGAAATGGCTCCGACTTCTGACCACGCAACTTCACCCGGGGCTCTGCTCACCATCATGAAGGTTCTTAATGATTGTGAGCAGAGAGTCAGGGACTCCCAAAGCACAAAAATAACGCAGAGCCCAGGCCTATCAATGGTATCATCGGCCTGAACCATGTCGATAAAACAGAGAGATAGGTAGTGTTTAAAGTCCCTACACCCTTGCTACAGTAGACAAAGAGAATATGGCATCCGTGCAGGACCACCCCAGACTGAAACCACATTGGGGCTCCGCAAGCCTTGCCAGGACCTTTCCCAGCACACCGAGGAGTGAGATGCCCCTGTAGTTGTTACAGTTTGTGCGGTCCCCCTTCTCAAAGCGGGGGTCACCAGGGCATCCGTCCAATCCTGCGGAACCCGTCCTGCGGTCCAGACGGTTGTATTTGTCATTGAGGGCAGTCTACACACAGATGCTACCCTCCCTCAGCAGTTCGTCTTGGGGAGTCATCTCTGTCCTGGTTGCAAGACTCCGGATCGCCTTTTGTACCTCAACAGGTGCCACCATCGGCCCAAACACTCGCAGAGAGCGGTGACCTCCTGCAGTATTTGAGGCACGGCAGCTCCCGGCAGGCTCAAATATGTTATCTGAGCCAAGGGGGTCCCCCCCCCCAATAATTCCTCAACATCAATGCTCAGCAAGACGTGAAAACCATGGGGTTCTGGAAAAGTTCAATTTCTTGGTTCTTTCGGTAAAGTCACGTAGAAGGGAAATAATAAAATATTACAAATATTAAATAAAATTCTCACGACGTTTCGACTGCAACACAAGCAATCATCATCAAGTGTGATAAACCACAGCAAGAAAACTAAAACTAAAGCGTTTATTTGACGAGCTAAGGCCCACTTAGCTACGTAGCTTTTTTATGAACTCACTCTGTCTGTTGTTGTATCCTCAAATCTTGTAACTCAATTTAACCCACTTCCCAATGTGGTATCGACTGCAAACTTGGTATACTTATGTCATACCGATGACAATACTACATTCTATCATTAGAAATAAAAAAAATTTAAACATTTTTTGTTACATGTCATGTTTCGCCTTGGGTCTAATCGTCCATGCTCAACTGACGTTGGCTGTAAATCACCACGGCCCCTTACGCTGTGGGCAAGCCTCAGGGCCACTTCCTGGAGTCGTGGAGTTTTGCCATTACTAGTACGGTACATTCCATATTACTTATTCAGAAGCGACCTGGCGTGGTTGGCAGTCCCTCGGGCACTGAGGATGGCACACCTTCCACAAATTATCGCTCAACAAAGTGGCTAATAATTGTAGTCGTCGTCGCGAGGAATTTATAACCGCAGCCAAACACCCTGAACGCACGTTGCTGCTAAATGTGGAGGGAAACACCAGGGGACCCGGAGTAGAAAAAATCCGCGTGACCACGGGGAGAGAGACGCAAACTCCAACTATACAGCAGCAGGCGTCAGGGTCGGGATTCAAACCACGACCTCCTGTAGACCAGGCGAGGTCGTTAACATCTCCTAGCCACCGTGATGATGATGAGAGAGACATGCAAATTCCAAACATACAGCAGCAGGCGTCAGGGTCGGGATTCAAACCACGACCTCCTGTAGACCAGGCGAGGTAGTTAACATCTCCTAGCCACCGTGATGATGAGAGAGAGAAAGACACGCACACTCCAAATATACAGCAGCAGGCGTCAGGGTCGGGATCGAACCCACGACCTCCTGCACACCAGGCGAGGTAGTTAACATCTCCTAGCCGCCGTGATGATGATGAGAGAGAGACATGCAAACTACAAATATACAGCAGCAGGCGTCAGGGTCGGGATTCAAACCACGACCTCCTGTACACCAGGCGAGGTCGTTAACATCTCCTAGCCGCCGTGATGATGAGAGATAGAGAGACACGCAAACTCCAAATATACAGCAGCAGGCGTCAGTGTCGGGATCGAACCCACGACCTCCTGCATACCAGGCGAGGGAGTTAACAACTCCTAGCCACCATGATGATGATGATGAGAGAGACACGCAAACTTCAAATATACAGCAGCAGGTGTCAGGGTCGGGATCGAACCCACGACCTCCTGCGTACCAGGCGAGGTAGTTAACATCTCATAGCCACCGTGACGAGTTGTTTTGGTGTGTTCATGGTGGTTAATTGGGAAGTACAAGAGGCACACACAGACACATCACCACCACCACAAACACCACCACAACCTCCACCACTATCAAAAGCACCATAGCCATCATCACCACCATCATAATCTGCACCATCACCATCACCTCTACCACCAAAGACAAAGATCCCCCGCATAGTCTCAACAGACCGTTGGGGCAAGTGCTGTTAGCGAGCACCTAACATCCACCACCACCATCCAATACCACTAAGTGGTGGTGACATCACCACAGGGCTTGTGCCAGGCCAGGTGCACTTTGAGGGCACATGAAGTGTTCAAGGCTCACTGCTGGCAGGAGGTCAGGCGCCATGCGTTGACCGACTGAGATGTCTGGCAGATGCACCACCACCACCATCACCACCACCACCATCAATCACCACCACCACCAATCCCCACCACCACCATCAATCACCACCACCACCATCAATCACCACCACCACCATCACCACCATCACCACCACCTCCACCACCACCACCACCATCACCTCCATCACCACCATCACCACCCCTTTCTCACCCGCGGCTTCCTGCTGGTGATGTTGTTGTTGTTGATGATGTTGTTGACATCATCCGAGCTGGATTTGGAGCGGAGGGTGGTGGTTGCGATCGTGGTGGTTGCGGTCAGGGCCGCCCCCCTGCGGGCGCGAGAGTAGCTGGTGGTGGTGGTGGTGGTGGCTCCGCCGGCGGCGGTGGTGGTGGTGGTGACGGTGGAGGACGCCGGCTGCGAGTCGTAGAGGCGGCGGATGTCGTTGAAGGTTCGCGGGCCGCCGTCGTCGTGTCCACGGCGCTCAAAGAACCTGAGCGGCCACAGCGGTCGACACCGTCGGCGTTACACGGCGCGACGGCAACATCAACACCGTCGACGTGCGTGCGTGCGTTGGGACCTCTTTCACACCGTACGTAGACGACGGTGCTAATCGGAGGTGTTGTCGTTTTGTTTGTTTGCTCAAACAACCTCGACGGCCATAGGCAATGAACATTGTTAACGTGACGAATCGCACATCAACAACATCAACAAAATCATCAACATCAACAACATCATCAACATCAACAACATCAACAACATCATCAACAACATCAATAACATCAACAGCATCAATAACATCATCAACAACATCAACAACATCAACAACATCAACAACATCAACAACATCAAGATGTGTACGGAGGTTGAACTTCTTACGATGGGCCGCTTTGTTGAGATATCATTTGTGGTAACCAGGTTACTTCTGAAAACTAAGTTAATACCCGAGTGGGAATCTAGATGTGAAGTTTCCATGACTGCAGAGATCCATCCTCTTCGGTTCTTTCGGTAAAATCACGTGGGGTAGAAAATAATATAAATTAAATCACGACGTTTCGGGCGCAACACAAGCAATCATCATCAGGTGGGGAAACCACAGCAAGACAGGCTATGAGATGGAGACGTGAAGCTGGACGGGGGGTGGGGGGAAGTGGGAGGCTGAGAGAGTTGAGGATAGGGGGGGATGCAACAATAACGCCACTTGCAGCAACAATGCCAATGAAGCCAACCGTGCCAATGAAGCAGCAATGCCAATGGGCTTTGCCTGGTAGGACCGGGATGGTTTGGTTGCATTTGAATGATGTTTGGGTGATTTGTTTACATTTCTTGTACTTTGCACGCCTATCGTGTTGTTGTTGTTGTTGGGATGTTCTTACACCCAAGCCCCAACTGGACATCTGTAGCTCATCGGAATCCTCCTCTAGTCTCAACACAAATTCTGAATTCTCCGATTCCGTTTTCGGGTTTCAGATTAAACCGATTTGGGTCCTCGAGTGGGGTGGTTGACAGTCCCTCGGCGGCCATGAGGATGGCACACCCCCAACACAACGAAGTGGCTTGTCACATGACCACGGGGAGAGACAACGTGCACACTCCACATATACAGCAGCAGCAGGCGTCAGGGTCGGGATCGAACCCCCGCCCCCCGTGGGTGTAGTTCCTGGCCACGAGATCATATCCGCTGTACCCCTGAACGGGCCGACCCCACATTGGGAAAACCGGAGGAACCAAAGGGAGAACATGCAAACTCCAAATATACAGGCGGCTGGGTCGGGGTCGAACCCACAACCTCCTGTATACCAGACGAGGGAGTTGACATCTCCTAGCCGCCGTGGAGGGGGCGGCTGCTCCTCGCGGTGCTCGGTCCACTCCCAGACATCTGTGCAAAAAGAGCTTCACAGATCATCGGATTCCTCCTCGAGTCCAAACAGTTCGATTGCGATCGTGGCTCTCTGGTTGCGCTGAATAGACGACACGTGGTTGGGGCTGTCGGTTCGATCCACTCACAAGGGGCAACGACTTCCTCCTCCAATAGTTGAGGCACCACAGCAGCACCAGCAGGGTCAGCCCCGCTTTTCCCTCTGATGTTTCTTGACCCAAGGGGTTTCAGTTGCCCCAAGACATCAAGGAAATGCTCAGCAAACCCGCCAACCTGCTCTTGGAGGTTGAAGATCAGATCACCGTTCTTGCCCTGAAGGATGTTGAGAGGTGTGGTGCTGAAAGTCACTTCTTGATGGTGTTACAGCATGCTACGGAGGTTTCCATTTCCTCAACAACTCGTAAGCACCGCTCATCCTTACGGCATGGCACAGCTCTCTGAACCTCCAAACCTCCGAGCGAAAGCTGCGGCAAGCCTCCTCGTTCTTGGACGTGGGATGTTGTCGACGGTGGGAGTGGACCTGCCGCTTACTTTAACTAGCCGGAACACTTCCTCCATGAGCTAGAGTTTCTGGGGAGGTCTAGACTGCGTGCTTAATGCAGCCATAGCAGCCGCATGAGTCACAGTCCTGAACCTCACCCATTTCTCCTCGGTGTCAGGAGGGGATGCCAACTCCACTTCAAAGCGATGATGAAATTCTTGCTTGTAACCTTCATCAGCAAGCCGAGACCAGGCCACTCTGGGTTTGAGTGGGGTCCTTGATGGATGCTTGCCACCACAGTGAAAATATAGTAGGCGCATCTTACAAATGACAAGCTGATGCTCAGTAAAAAAAATCAGCTCCATAGTAGATCCTGGTGTCAAGGACGTGGGCCCGCATTCGCTATTCCACAACTTTCTAGTCCAGCAGATGTTCTTGCTTGGAGCTGGCATGCATCAATGATGTTGTGTGGATGCGCCGATGTGGAACCAGCGTGTTGGTGATTACAAGCCCATGGGCTTCACGGAAGTCGAGCAGCCTCCTAATGTTGTTATTGAGCTGATCTCACCCATGCCTTCCAATCACTCCAGACCAGGTGTCTGCATCATGACCCAATAGGGCATTAAAATCTGACTCATCAGCCTTGCCTGCCATCCCTCCACTGATGTTCATCGTCTGTGCGGGTGTAAGCGACCACCACGATCCCTCTCTTCCCATTGACGGGGAGGCGAGTCCACAGTAGCCTGGGAGTCACAACTGATTGTATGTGCTCTCCATGGTGGAAGGAGCCCCCAGGGTGCTCCTGTATACCATGTATTTTAAACCATTTTGTTTTTCTTAAAAGCTATTTCATATTTATTAAACGCCTATTATTCACTCTTCCTTGATTTTAACATCGTAGATGCTTTGCATTTTTATGAGATTTAGGTTAGTTTTACATTTGTCACTGGGCCTACCTATGCCCTGTGGCCCTTCGACTTGCCTGAGCTACTGCTCTCAGGAAAACTGAGCTGCTGCTGCTCCCTGGTTCTGCTTGAACTGCACCTTGATTCAAACCCAGTTCATCTCATCTCTTGATTGATGATTCAGTATTAACCACGATCTGATTGTCCTAGCACTACAACCAGCTTGTCTTGTCTAAGCTAAGCTTGTCTCATCACCTGATTGGCACAACAGGATGACCGCCCGCATGTTCCTGCTTATGACTAACCCCCTGCGGCCCGCACCCAGCTTTCCCGAGCTGAAGCTCAGCCTCTTTCATCCTGAAGTGGATGCGGCAGTGCTACCGTAGTGACACAGCGCCGACTGCTGTCCAGCAGCGGCAACTGCGGTGGACAGTTTGCGTACTCACGCCGTCGAGCATGTACACGGCTGTGTGCCAGCAGGGCGGAGGAACTGGGGCAAGGGTAACGGAAGACCTCATCGGGAGGCCCCTGGAAGCCTCTGGTGGGTTCGAGAAGGGAGGCGCGGCCAGGGTGGAGCCAGGACAGAGCGAGAGCGGAGCCAGGAGGCCGCGCCGAGGAGAATAAAAGCAGCGGAGAGCGAGTGCTCTGGGCTGCCAGTTCTGGGAGTGGACTCGTCTCGTCGTCGCTGTTGTCTTCGCTGCCTTCGCACGATAATTGCGCGGCCGGACAGGAGTTGGCCGTCTCGGTCGACGCCGTCTAGGCCGGGCTGTACTCCAAATGAGTGTGTGCGCCACACACACACGCAGAGGAGGACACGACATTACTATTACTGCCTGTCCAACTAGCCACTGCACCTGCCCATCTCGGCCCGTGACCTGCTCATTGTGGCTTGTGCCCAGTACATCGTGGTGAAGCTCAATTTGTCTCATCATCTGGGCTTCTGGTGTATGAACAACACCAGGGAGGCATGAGCCATGTTAAGGCGTTGCAACTCAAGCAAATAGCGGTTTACACCCTTTCACGTATACTTCAGTGTTTTGAGTCTTGCCTCTCTGGTGACTTATGTGCTACTAAATTCATGACCTTAGGAGCCTCTGTCCCCTTCACACTGACACATTTCAGGTGGACTGGTGGACGGAAGAGGCCTGTGGGAAGGTTGAAATCTGGGAGCCAGTTAGGATTGATGGTTCCAATTCATTGTCTACCCGTAAGATTCGGTAGTCTCACGTCTGCATCGGACCCTCAGATCCAGAATCCCAGATGCCCTTCCCCGTTGACCTCGGGTTATAATAAATATACCAAAACGACGTTCCACTGAGCTGCAAAATAGAGGTATCGGGAGTAACAAAGAGCCTTTACTGAAGCTTATGCCTACTGAATGCCAGGTCGGTCACGCGATGTGCCCCTTTAGTCCGTGACAAGATTGGGCTGTCCCCATCGAGCTTTTATTATCAAAACCTGGCTTCGACCGGGAATCGACCAACCTTTGGCTGATTTAGTCCCAGATGGGTAAACGGACAGGTGGCAGGGTGGCGGTGATCTTTCAGACCGATTATATCTGCGCGATGTGCCCTGGTCCCAAAGTGGAGTCATTTGAATACATGGTCGTGCATTGCCCCCTGAATGAGAACCAGGGCCTGTATCTCACCCTGGTTTATAGACCACCTCGATGCAAAGGTGATTTTACGTATCAGCTGTCTGAGGTGACCTCGCCCTTCTCCCTGTAATTCCCTCACAGAATTGTGCTGGGAGATTTCAACACATGGATGGATGACCCATCTGATAGTTTGGCTCCAGACCTTTTGGATACCATGGCTTCCATGGGATTTATTCAGTTTATACAGGGTCCAGTGCATGATCACGGCCACACGGTCAACCTAGTATTCAACCAGGGGGTCTCAATTGGCGCCATTAAATTTCCGTGCGCACTATGGACTGATCACACGGTGATCCACGCTGAGTTCAAGGGTCTCCCCACCCCTCTCCAACATTCTGGGGGACTTCAGGGAAGCTGGGTTCGGCCCAAAAAGCTAACAGCCCCTTCTGGATTTTCTGTTGCCTTGTCGGCCCACATTTAGTCTTACTGTGACAGTGGTACCATCAACGATTGGTTTTAGAAGTAAAATTTAGTGCTCTGATCTGCTATCGATGACCTTGCCGCTTGCCACTGTCTTCATGCTAAAGTTACCACGAGCACCAGAGACCTCAGAGCCTGAAAGTAGAACTTAGGAAAATGGAACGATGCTGGCGCAGATCAACTCTACGAGCCTGTCAATGGGCTAACACGCGGGCTATCTTCATGGCGACGAAAAAGTACGTCGCCTTGAGGATTGACTCGGCAAGGAACCGTCCCCTGCAGAGGTGTTCAGGATGGTCAACAGTTTCATTCACCCAAACTGTCCGTCGATAAAGGTTGCTCCTTCTGAAGAGTGCTGCAAAGATTTCCATCAGTTCTTTGCTAGTAAGATCAATCGCATTAGAGAGGGCATCTGCCCAGCAATTAGTCCTGATCCTAGATTGGGCCTAAGGGCTCCTCTCATCTTTGAGAGGTTTTTTTTCACCAGTCCTGCCTGCAGACATCATCCAGACTACTGTGATGATGAAATACACCATCTGAATTGAGTTGTGCGCCTTTTGGCGTCACCTGGTCCAACACCAATGGAGACTAGGCTCTAAGAAAAGCTGTCTCGGGTGTGGACCAATCAACTTCAAGGACAGTGCATATCATTATCAGTGTTGTTTCTTTTTGTTTGCATTTTGACTGCTTGTTTTGTGGTTATTGCAAACATGATGCCTTGTATAAAGGTGTCAGTTTTTGTACCAGTTGAAAGGGTAAAAACCTATCACCACTGGACCACCTGTGATTTAGATCCCTGTTCCTCTTAGATTCTTCAGGAGGCCTTTGAGTCAGTGATCCCGATAGTGACCAAATTGGTCAACTTTTACCTTTCAGAAACGGCACTGGATGTTGATATCCTGGCGATCAATCACCCGATATTCAATCTTCCCTCTTTAGGGAAGATTTTCGAATGGGTGGCCTCCTCCCAGTTGGAGTTGTGTCTGGAGGCCGAGGCCGCGTGCTTCTTTGATGTCACTCAATCAGGCTTCAGGGCCCATCATGGAACTGAGTCCACCTTGGTTTGCGTGACAATCTCCTCGTGGCGATGGACCGGAGCTGTCTTTCAGCCCTTGTTATGTTTGACCTGTCAGCCGCCTTTGATACAATTGATCATGAGGTTTTATTGCGGCACCTATGGGGCCTGGCAGGAATCGGAGGCACCGCCTTCCAGCGGATTGGATCTTTCTGGCAAGGCAGGACCAGAGGTCGCAACCGGGTACCCGATACCCGTACCCTACCCGATACCTGGCTACCCGTCCCCGGCCGGGTACGGGTAGCCGTTTGCGACCCTGGTGCGGCCGGGTACGGGTACGGGTAGGCCATGAGTCACTGGTGAGTAACCGTTTGTCACTCATTTCGGGTAGGGTACGGGTACGGGTAGGGAACGGGTACCCGTACCCGGCCGGGTACGGGTACAGGTACCCATTTGCGACCCTGGTGCGGCCGGGTACAGGTATGGGTAAGGATTCAAAACCCTTTTGCGACCTCTGGGCAGGACCTAGCAGGTGGCCTTGGGTCCCCACGTGTCCCCTGTTGGACCCTCCCCTTACGGTATCCCTCAGGGGTAAGTCTTATCTCCCCTTTTATTCAATGTCTATGTTAGGCCGCTGGGAGCTATCATCCGGAGGCACGGGTTACAGTGCCACCAGTACGCCAATAACACCCAGATATACGTCTCCTTTCCAGGTGACCCAGATGCAGCCCTCGCCTGCTTAACAGACTGCCTGGCGGAGGTGCAGCAAAACTGACCAGACGCTGCTGATGATTTTCGGGTCAGAGAGCCGGCTGAAGATGAAACAGGGGGAGTGCCTCCATTAATCAATGGAGTCCGCCCTCTCCCTGTAGAAATGGTGCACAACCTCGGTGTACTGTTCGATCTTAGCTTCACCATGCACCCTCAGGTTGCAGCTGTGGTCAAAGCGGGGCTTCATCACCGGAGAGTGCTCAGAGGGCTATGCCCCCTCTTATCCGCTCGTGATCTCGAAACACCGATTAATGCTCTGTATGCCGAGCTGACTTGTGGACTGGTTTGCAAACTGCAGCAAATGTAGAATGCGGCTTCCCGCATACTAAGATGTGTTAGCCGTTTCGAGCACATAAAACCCATCCTCCGTGATCTGCAATGGCTACCAGACAGCTATCGCATACAATTTAAGTGAGCTGTAATGACTTACAAAGCTCAAAATGGCCTTGGTCCTCGGTACCTGCAGTCCCTTATGGCCCCCCAGACGTCCGGTAGATACATACCTTGAACTCCTCAAGCCCTGCTAGCTCAATCCACAAGTTGTCATTCTACGCTGGCTGGTAGCAGGGCCTTCTCAAGTGTGGCGCCTGAGATCTTTTTCTGGAGTGTGTCCTCTCATTTTGATCTTTTTGGATGTGTCGTGATTTTATCGGTAGGACTAATTTTGTTTAATTTATACTGTAAAGTATTGTGATTCCTCTTCTTTAGCGGGGGTGAGTTCTTACTATATAATATAATGACTTAATGAACAACTTCCCACACTCTGCCTCCATACTCCCACGCCCCTTTTATTCTTTAGTTCAAATGAAGACCCACTCCCTGTTTTTTGGCAGCTTTCTGCCCTGAGTTATGACTGAAGCCAGAACCGGTCCACTGGACCTGCTGAATACCAGAGGTACAAGGGTACCATTCCAACTCCCGACATAAGAATGGAAGCCTCTCCTCCGTAGTGACCCACAGACTCACCCAGAGAGCCACAAACACAACACACAGAGACCCACAGACTCACCACACAGAGACCCACAGACTCACCACACAGAGACCCACAGACTCACCACACAGAGACCCACAGACTCACCACCAAGGCCTGCCCCTCCCCCCAAGGGCCACGTACCTGGCGGTATCCCCCATCCTCCTCCAGTCGTCCCCGCGTCTCGTCCCCTCTCCCGCTCCTCCCACGGCGCTCAAATCCTCGTAGCTCTTCCCGAGCCGCGAGGGAACGTCTCCGACTCTCCTGCTGGCGGGCCCCTTCCAGGGGCGCTCCCTCCCCCCCCCCTGCTGCCCCCCCGCCGCCCCCTCCCTCCGCTCCTCTCGCCGCCCTCGTCGCTGTGCGCACCGCGTCCAGGTAGAGGGAGTTGAGGTCCACGGAGCGTTCGCCCGCCTGGCTCCTCCTGGAGGCGCCGGAGCCGTCTCGGGCGCCTTCCGTGGCACCGGTGCCCTTATTGGAACCCCCGTCGCTACCCCGGCTCGTACCCACGTCGCTACCCCCACCGGCGCCCCGACCGGTGGCCGCTCTGGCTGCGCCGCCGCCGCCGCCGTCGTCCACGCTGCTGTTGCTCCTCCTGCCGCTCTCCTTGAAGGCCCCGGCGCCGTCTCTAGCGCCGGGGCCCCGACCGTGACCCTCGTCGGAACCTCCACCGGCGCCCCCACCCCCGGCCCCGCCGGCGACCCGCCTGGCTGCGCCGCCGCCACCGCCGTCGTCGTCCGCGCTGCTGCTGTTGCTCCTCCCGCCGCTCTCCCCGGCGACGGCGCCGGTGCCGCCGTTCCCATAGCAGGGAGCCGCTCGCGTTCCGGCGGCGCCGCCGTGGCGACCGGCCTCGGCCCGCTCCGCCTCGCCGCCGGCCGTCTCCCGGCCCTCCTTGCCGGCCGCCTCGACGGGCGAGGAGAGCGAGGAGAGCGAGGAGAGCCGCGAGTCCGAGCGGCCGTCCATCGGGGCCCCGTCCTCGCGCGGCTCCGGGAAGGACTGAGCCCGCAGGAAGCGCCGCTGGGAGCCGCCTCCGTCGCTTCCGTCGCCCGGCTCGGCCGCCGCCTCCTCCCCGCCCGGCCCGGGGCGCCCCCTGCGAGCAGGCGCCAGGCCGAGCTGCAGGTTCACGGAGGAGGTGTGAGTGGGCGGGCCTCCCACGGGGATGCTGGCCTTGCTCGTGAACGTCCCGCCGCTCCTGCCGGCGTCGCTAACCCTCCGGGCCTCTGCTCCGGACGGCCTCCCGGTGTCGGCGTCCCGTCCTCCCGCTCCTCCCCCCACACCTCGTCCTCCCGCCGCCACCGTCGCCGCAGCCTCCGCCTCCTCCCCCGGGCCCTCTTCGTCTTCGAGGAGGATGCTGCTCCTCGGCCGCCGCCTGCCGAGCGCCGCCGCCCCCACGGTGGGCACGGAGGGCAGCGTGGCCGCCTTGCTCTCGAGGGAGCTGCGGGGCCTCGCCGGCTCCGGGGGGTCCCGGGAGAGGAGGCCGCGGGCGCCGACCCGGGCCGCCCCCCCCGCGGCCCCTCCCCCCCCGCCGCCCGGGCCCCCCCGCTGGTGCGCGGCGAGCAGCAGGCGGTCCACCTCCCGCTGCAGCTGCTCCGCGTGCTGCCGCTCGCGCTTGAGGACGCTGCGGGCGTCCTCCAGCTCCAGCGCCAGCAGCGTCTCCCGGCGCCGTGCCGCCGACGCCGACGTGGCGGCGGGGGGGAGGGGGAGGGAGTCGGTGGTGGAGTTGGGGAGGCCGGCCGGCGTGGGGCCGACGGCTTCCCCCTCGCGACGCCGCTGCTGCTGCTGCTGCAGCTGCTGCTCCAGTTTGAGCGCCCGGGCTTCCGAGCGCTGCAGCTGCTGCCGCAGGTCGGTAACCTCCAAGCGGAGGCGCTCCAGCTCGCGGCCGGTGCGTGGAGAGCCGGGGCCCAAACTCGCCTCCAGACGGTCCCGCGCTGCTGCTGCACGCCGTGGCAGAGCGGAGATAAACTCAACAACCGGATCTTGATTTGAAGCTTTCGTGACTGCAGGAATCCATACTCTTTGATTCTAATAAACTATTTTTGCAGCGTGTGTACGTTGACTTTGTTTCGCACCGTACGTAGTCAGCCGCGCTAAACGGAGATGCGCGGGAAGGCCAATCGACTGAACACGTAAAGCAGTGATAAAGAAATCTGTGGAGGGAGCTGAAGGTTCGAGTTGCCAAACGTCAGCCTCAAAACCTTAATGACTTGGAGAAGATCTGCAAAGAGGAGTGGGACAAAATCCCTCCTGAGATGTGTGCAAACCTGGTGGCCAACTACAAGAAACGTCTGACCTCTGTGATTGCCAACAAAGGTTTTGCCACCAAGTACTAAGTCATGTTTTGCAGAGGGGTCAAATACTTATTTCCCTCATTAAAATGCAAATCAATTTATAACATTTTTGACATGCGTTTTTCTGGATTTTTGTTGTTGTTATTCTGTCTCTCACTGTTCAAATAAACCTACCATTAAAATTTTAGACTGATCATTTCTTTGTCAGTGGGCAAACGTACAAAATCAGCAGGGGATCAAATACTTTTTTCCCTCACTGTATATACGGTATCCCCTCGATATTCGCCAGGGATACATTTCTGAGATGCTCGTGAATTGCACATTTTGCAGGTTGTGATATTGGCCTATGAAAACCTGCTTTATCTTTTGAATGAAAACCTTAAATATGTAAATAAGCTATGAAATAAGTTAACATTATTATAACGACGCATCTCTCATCACTTTAACTCTCGTCACATTATCTTTATCTCATCGCTTTATCTCGTAACATTATCACTCATCACTTTGTTTCTCATCACCGTACCATCTCTCATCGTTTTATCTCTCTCCGTCGATGCAGCGATCATTTAGAGCTCCAGATGCGATTCGCCGATAGCCAAAAACGCAGCCGGCAAGTTTGTGAATAACGAGGTAGAGCTGTCGCTCTTTTCAACGAAGTGGCTTATCATCATCGTCTGTAATTCATAGCAGCCAAATAATCTAAACGTATGTCGAGTCAAGAGGTGGGGGGGGGGGGGAAACTGGAGGACCCAAAGTAAAAGACACTGGGAGAGAGACACGCAAACTCCAAATGTACAGAAGGCATCAGTGTCGGGATCAAACCCACGACCTCCTGCGTACCTGGCGGAGTAGTTAACATCTCCTTGCCACCGTTACGCGCAAGAGTGACCAGTCGTTCGGTTGTGATTTCATCATGGAATTGTTGTCTTTATCATTGTCAACGTGTTCATCATCGTCATCATCGTCATCATCGTCATCATCATCATCGTCATCAACGTGTTCATCATCATCAATCAATCATTATCGTCATCATCGACATCATCATCGTCGTCATCATCATAGTCGTCATCATCGTCATCATCCTCGTCATCATCATCGTCATCACCATCATCGTCGTCATCATCATCGTCATCATCATCATCATCGTCGTCATCGTCATCATCATCATCGTCAGTCATCGTCATCATCATCATCATCGTCGTCATCGTCGTCATCATCGTCATCATCCTCGTCATCATCATCGTCATCACCATCATCGTCGTTATCATCATCGTCATCATCATCATCATCGTCGTCATCGTCATCATCATCGTCATCATCATCATCGTCGTCATCGTCGTCATCATCGTCATCATCATCATCATCATCCGCCCCTTAGGTACTGTGAATTGGGGCGACCGCCCTAATCCCCGCACCCACCCAATGGATGGTCCTGCCCACAGCGTTCAACGTTAAAGGCTCCCACAGGATTCAATTATAAAGGCTCCCACAGGGTTCAATGTTAAAGGCTCCCACAGGGTTCAGTGTTAAAGGCTCCCACAGGGTTAAATGTTAAAGGCTCCCACAGGGTTCAATGTTAAAGGCTCCCACAGGATTCAATGTTAAAGGCTCCCACAGGGTTCAATGTTAAAGGCTCCCACAGGGTTCAATGTTAAAGGCTCCCACAGGGTTCAATGTTAAAGGCTCCCACAGGGTTCAATATTAAAGGTTCCCACATGGTTCAATGTTAAAGGTTCCCACATGATTCAATGTTAAAGGCTCCCACAGGGTTCAATGTTAAAGGCTCCCACAGGGTTCAATATTAAAGGTTCCCACAGGGTTCAATATTAAAGGTTCCCACATGATTCAATGTTAAAGGCTCCCACAGGGTTCAATGTTAAAGGCTCCCACAGGGTTCAATGTTAAAGGCTCCCACATGGTTCAATGTTAAAGGCTCCCACAGGGTTCAATGTTAAAGGCTCCCACAGGGTTCAATGTTAAAGGCTCCCACAGGGTTCAATGTTAAAGGCTCCCACAGGGTTCAATGTTAAAGGCTCCCACAGGGTTCAATGTTAAAGGCTCCCACAGGGTTCAATGTTAAAGGCTCCCACAGGGTTCAATGTTAAAGGCTCCCACAGGGTTCAATGTTAAAGGCTCCCACAGGGTTCAATGTTAAAGGCTCCCACAGGGTTCAATGTTAAAGGCTCCCACAGGGTTCAATATTAAAGGTTCCCACAGGGTTCAATGTTAAAGGCTCCCACAGGGTTCAATGTTAAAGGTTCCCATAGGATTTAACGTTAAAGGCTCCCACAGGGTTCAATGTTAAAGGCTTCCCATAGGAGTTCAATGTTAAAGGCTCCCACAGGGTTCAATGTTAAAGGCTCCCACAGGGTTCAATGTTAAAGGCTCCCACAGGGTTCAGTGTTAAAGGCTCCCACAGGGTTAAATGTTAAAGGCTCCCACAGGGTTAATGTTAAAGGCTCCCACAGGGTTCAATGTTAAAGGCTCCCACAGGGTTCAATGTTAAAGGCTCCCACAGGGTTCAGTGTTAAAGGCTCCCACAGGGTTCAACGTTAAAGGCTCCCACAGGGTTCAACGTTAAAGGCTCCCACAGGGTTCAACGTTTAAGACTTTTATAATCTCTACATTCCCATCGCAGGGCGAGGTCTCAAGCAGAGACAGAGCCAGAGACGAGCTGGACACAGACATCACCACGTCTCACCGCTCGGAGAATGTGGTCCCAGTTTCTCCTCCAGGCGTCGGCGTTCCCACTCGGAGTTCTCCAACCTCCCCTCCAGCTCGCGGCGCTCCTTCTCCCAGGCCGCCAGCTTCTGCTCCGTCTCCGCAGACACCTGCGGAGGCACCTTGGACTGCTCCAGCTCCTTCCGGAGACTCCGAAGCCTCTCCTCCAATCCCCGGCGATCAGCCTCGGAGCTCTGGAGCTTCTCCTCCAGGGACCGACGCTGCGTCTCGGAATCCGCCAGCTTCTCCTCCAGCTCCCGGCGCTCCTCCCGGGAGAACCGGGGCTTCGATTGATACTCCTGGATTTCCTTCTCAGAACTCCCAAGTTTTGCCGACAACTCCTGACGCTGCTCCTCGGATTTCCGGAGCTTCTCTTCGAGCTCCTGACTGCCCCTTGTCTTCCTCCCGCGAAGGCCGAGGCTTCGCCTTCAACGCCTGGGCCTCCTTCTCAACGTTCAGGAGCTTGTCCGCCAGGGACTGGCGCTCCTTCTCGGAATCCCGGAGCTTCTCCTCCAGCTCCTGGCGCTCCGCTCGCGGGAATCGCGGCTTCGTCTTCAACTCCTCCAGTTGGTTTTCGGAACTCCGAAGCTTCTGCTCAAACTCCCGCCGTTCCCGCTTGTGATTCCGAAGGTTCTCTTCCAGTGCCTCGCGCTCCTTCTCGGAGGCGCGAAGCTTCTCCTCCAACTCCCGCCGCTCATCCCGGGAAATCCGCGCCTTCGGCTGCGGCCCCGGAGCTTCCTTCACGGAACTCCGAAGCTTTTCCTCCAACTCCTGACGCTGCGTCTCGGACTTGCGGAGCTTCTCTTCCAGCTCCTGGCGCTCCCTCTGGGAATCCCGAGCCCTCTCCTCCTCCTCCCGGGGGGATCGAGGCTTCACCCTCAACTCTTGGACGCCTTTCAACTCTCCCAGCTCCTTCTGCGAATTCTCAAGTCTACCTTCCAGATCCACGGATTTCTTCTCAGACTTGCCGAGCTTCTCCTCCAGCTCCCGTAACTTCTTCTCGGCACTCCCTAATTTCTCCTCCAGCTCCCGGGACTTCTTCTGAGAACTCACAAACGTCTCTTCCACCTCCCGGGATTTCTTCTCGGAATTCCGCAGCTTCTCCTCCAGCTCCTGCGGCTTGCGGGAATCCTTGCCGGCATCGCGGAGTTTCTCCTCCAGCTCCCGGCATTTCTTCTCGGAACTCCCTAATTTCTCCTCCGCCTCCCGTAACTTCTTCTCGGAACTCACTAATTTCTCCTCCGCCTCCCGGCATTTCTTCTCAGAAATCCCAAACGTCTCTTCCGCCTCCCGGCATTTCTTCTCGGAACTCCGCAGCTTCTCTTCCAGCTCCTGGGCATTCTGGGCCTTGCGTGAATCCTTGCCGGCATCCCGGAGTTTCTCCCCGAGCTCGCGGCGCTCCCTGTCGGCGAGCGCGAGCTTCTGCTCCAGCTCGCGGCGCTCCTTGTCGGAGCTGCGCAGGCGCTCCTCGCTGCTGCCGCGCTCCTCCTGGAGGGCGCGCAGCTTGGACTCGGCCTCCAGCCGGCGCTCGTCCGTGTCGAGGAGGCGCTCGCGCAGGCGGGCGAGCTCCTGCTGAGCCTCCTCGTGCTCCTCACGCAGGCGCACGCTCTCCTCCAGCTGGCAGGCACAGCGAGAGAGAGCGGGGGGGGGGGGAGGGGGGGGAGTGGGGGGAGAGTGGGGGAGAGTGGGGGGGGAGTGAGGGGGGGGGGAGTGGGGGGGGAGAGTGGGGGGGTGGGGGGGGAGAGTGGGGGGAGGAGAGTGGGGGGAGAGTGGGGGGAGAGTGGGGGGTGGAGTGAGGGGGGGGGAGTGGGGGGGGAGAGTGGGGGGGGTGGGGGGGGGAGAGTGGGGGGGGGGGGGAGAGTGGGGGGAGAGTGGGGGGGAGAGTGGGGGGAGAGTGGGGGGGGGGGGAAAGTGGGGGGACGAGAGTGGGGGGAGGAGAGTGGGGGGAGAGTGGGGGGAGAGGGAGGGAGAGTGGGGGGAGAGCGGGGGGGGGGGAGAGGGAGGAAAAGTGAGGGGAGAGTGGGGGGAGAGTGGGGGGGAGAAATGGGGGGAGAGTGGGGGGAGAGTGGGGGGAGAGTGGGGGAAAGAGTGGGAGGGAGAATGGGGGGAGAGTGGGGGGAGAGTGGGGGGAGAGAGTGGGGGGGAGAGTGGGATGGAGAGTGGGGGGGAGAGTGGGAGGGAGAATGGGGGGAGAGTGGGGGGTAGAGTGGGGGAAGAGTGGGTGGGGTGAGTGGGGGGGGAGTGGGGAGAGAGTGGGGAGAGAGTGGGGGTAGAATGGGGGGGAGAGTGAGGGGGGAGAGTGGATGGGTGGGTGGGTGAGCGGGTGAATGGGTGGGTGAATGGGTGAGTGGGTGAGTAGGTGAGTAGGTGGGTGGGTGGGTGAGTGAGTGAGTGTGTTAGTGGGCGGGTGTGTGTGCGTGTGCTTTATTGACCTGGTCAAGGCCTATGATACCATCACTAGGCCTGGCCTCTGGGTTGTTCTTCATGCTTTCGGAGTCCCTGACCCTCTGCTCACGATCATTAAGGACCTTCATGATGGTGAGCGGGCCCAGGTAAAACTACGTGGCCGGGAGTCAGAGCCATTTCCTGTTCACTTTGGGGTGCGACAGGAATGTTCTCTGGCTCCCACATTATTTAACATCTTTTTCGACCACGTAGTTCATGAAGCCTTTAATGGCTGTACCGGAAGAATTTCCATCTAGTACAGATATAATGGGAGGCTGATCGATGCCCGAGTGCGATCAAGGGATGGCTCCCTATTGGTCAACCACGTTATGTATGCCGATGATTTGGTGATAGCTGCTCAATCAGAGGAGGAGTTGGAGGCGCTGCTGCTGAACCTGGAGCGTGCCACCAAGAGGTGGGCCTTACCATCAGCCCCACCACAACTAAGCATCTGCCTGGGTATTTTGTACCATCGGACACTCCACCCCCACAACTCCCAATTGGTGATGGCGCAGTTGTGTAGAGAGTAGAGAGTTTCCCATACCTGGCCAGTGTGCTCATGACCAGCTCCAGTTTAACAGCAGAGGTCTCACTGTGAATCAGTCGAGCGGCATTATCTTTTCATCGGTTGCGTAACGCTATGTGGAAGCTACCTGGTCTGTTGCTCCGCACGAAGCTTCAGGTCTTCTCGGCCACAGTCATTCCCTCCCTTCTCTACGCTTGCGAAACATGGGCCCTCCTAATGGAACATCTTCGCCGGTTAGAAACATTAAGGCTGGCATGCCTACGATCCATCCTGTGTTTAACCAGGCTGGATTGTGTGAGGAGCTCACAAATCCTTGAAAGATCTGGACAAAGTCCCATCGGTAAGCTCCTCCGGCAGGCAAGGCTAAGTTGGCTGGGCCTGGATCGCGGGGGCTAAACGGGCGCGGTATGGGCTAGAGAGGAGATGGAGTGATGTGGTACAGGAGGATGTGCAGCTGAGTGGACTTGCGGATAACTGGTACCAGCGGTATCAAGATCGGCCTCTGTGGAGGAGGCTCGTGAAGGACGCTACTGGGCAGTTGGAGGCAGTCGCCCTCCAACAATAATGGAGGGCGGAGGAGCGACGCTCACAACAACGAGCGGAGCGCCGGGTGGCTAAAGCACAGAAAGTTGGCCCAGTAGGGGGCACAGGTGGTGCATCAGCCAGTCATCTCGGTCTTTTCAGTCAGTTGACCCGTGGCACCTGGGTCTGCCCCGTGACCTCCTGCCAGCGGGCGGTCGACACTTCACGTGGCCTCAAGGTTACATGGCCTGGCACAAGCGCCGTGGTGACGTCACCGCCACTTAGTGGCGAATGGCGGTTGTTGTTGTTGTCACTGTGTGTGCGAGTGTTAGTGGGTGAGTGGGTGGTGGGTGAGTGTTTGCATTGGTGGGTGAGTGTTTGCATTGGTGGGTGTGTGTTAGTGGGTGGGTGAGTGAGTGGGTGGCTGGGTGAGTAAGTGAGTGGCTGGGTGGGTGAGTGAGTGGCTGGGTGAGTGAGTGAGTGAGTGGCTGAGTGAGTGAGTGAGTGGCTGGGTGAGTGAGTGAGTGGCTGGCTGGGTGAGCGAGTGGCTGAGTGGGTGAGTGAGTGAGTGGGTGAGTGAATGAATGGCTGAGTCAGTGAGTGGCTGGGTGAGTGAGTGAGTGTGTTAATGGGCGAGTGTTTGAATGGGTGGGTGTGTGTGTTAGTGGGTGAGTGAGTGAGTGGCTGGGTGAGTGAGTGGCTGAGTGAGTTAGTGAGTGTGTTAGTGAGTGAGTAGCTGGGTGAGTGAGTGTGTTAGTGTGTGTGTGCGTGCTAAGTAGTTGCTACAGAAGAGAGACAGCCCCCCCCCCCCACCCCGTACCAGTCTCTCCACGCATCTCACGCGCTCCCTCATCTCCTCCCGCGTCTTCTCCGCCCGCCCGAGTGCCGACTTGGCCTCGTCCCGGTCGCGCACGGCCTCGCGTACGCGGGCCCGCACCTCCCGGCCAGCGGCACGCAGCCGCTCCAGGTTGTCACGCAGCTCCGCCTCCATCTCGTCGTGCTCGGCCCCGCGACTTTCCACGGAGCGCACCCGCTCGCGTAACAAACCCAGCTCCTCCAGCAGCTGGGAGTGGGGGGGGAGGTCAGAGAGGGTTGGTGAGTGGGTGGGTGGATAAGTGGGTTTGGTGAGTTGGTGAGTGAGTGAGTGGGTGAGTGAGTTGGGTGAGTGAGTGGGTGAGTGAGTGAGTGGGTGAGTTGGTGAGTAGGTGAGTTGGTGAGTGCGTAGGTGAGTGGGTTGGTGAGTGAGTAGGTGAGTGAGTGGGTGAGTGAGTTGGTGAGTAGGTGAATCGGTGAGTTGGTGAGTGAGTGGGTGAGTGAGTGAGTGGGTGGGTGAGTGAGTTGGTGAGTGAGTGGGTGAGTGAGTGAGTGGGTGAGTGAGTTGGTGAGTGAGTGGGTGAGTGAATTGGTGAGTGAGTAGGTGAGTGAGTGGGTGAGTGAGTTGGTGAGTGAGTGGTGAGTAGGTGAATGGGTGAGTTGGTGAGTGAGTGGGTGAGTGAGTGGGTGAGTGAGTAGGTGAATGAGTTGGTGAGTGAGTGAGTTGGTGAGTGAGTTGGTTGGTGAATAGGTGAGTGAGTTGGTGAGTGCGTAGGTGAGTGAGTTGGTGAGTGAGTAAGTGAGTGAGTGGGTGAGTGAGTTGGTGAGTGAGTTGGTGAGTAGGTGAATGGGTGAGTTGGTGAGTGAATGGGTGAGTTGGTGAGTGAGTTGGTGAGTTGGTGAGTGAGTTGGTGAGTGAGTGGGTGAGTGAGTTGGTGAGTGAGCTGGTGAGTGAGTTGGTGAGTGAGTGAGTTGGTGAGCGAGTTGGTAAGTGAGTGGGTGAGTGAGTTGGTGAGTGGGTGAGTGAGTTGGTGAGTGAGCGAGTGAGTGGGTGAGTTGGTGAGTGAGTGGGTGAGTGAGTGTGTGAGTGAGTTGGTGAGTGAGTTAGTTGGTGAGTGAGTTGGTGATTGAGTTGGTGAGTGAGTGGGTGAGTGAGTAGGTGAGTTGGTGAGTGAGTTGGTGAGTGAGTGGGTGAGTGAGTGGGTGAGTGAGTAGGTGAGTGAGTTGGTGAGTGAGTGAGTTGGTGAGTGAGTTGGTTGGTGAATAGGTGAGTGAGTTGGTGAGTGCGTAGGTGAGTGAGTTGGTGAGTGAGTAAGTGAGTGAGTGGGTGAGTGAGTTGGTGAGTAGGTGAATGGGTGAGTTGGTGAGTGAGTGGGTGAGTTGGTGAGTGAGTTGGTGAGTTGGTGAGTGAGTTGGTGAGTGAGTGGGTGAGTGAGTTGGTGAGTGAGCTGGTGAGTGAGTTGGTGAGTGAGTGAGTTGGTGAGCGAGTTGGTAAGTGAGTGGGTGAGTGAGTTGGTGAGTGAGCGATTGAGTGGGTGAGTTGGTGAGTGAGTGGGTGAGTGAGTGGGTGAGTGAGTGGGTGAGTGAGTGGGTGAGTGAGTTAGTTGGTGAGTGAGTTGGTGATTGAGTTGGTGAGTGAGTGGGTGAGTGAGTAGGTGAGTTGGTGAGTGAGTTGGTGAGTAGGTGAGTGAATTGGTAAGTGAGTAGGTGAGTAATTTGGTGAGTGAGTTGGTGAGTGAGTGGGTGAGGGAGTTGGTGAGTGAGTGGGTGAGTGAGTGAGTGAGTGGGTGAGTTGGTGAGTGAGTTGGTGAGTGAGTAGGTGAGTTGGTGAGTGAGTGGGTGAGTGAGTTGGTGAGTGAGCGATTGAGTGGGTGAGTTGGTGAGTGAGTGGGTGAGTGAGTGGGTGAGTGAGTGGGTGAGTGAGTGGGTGAGTGAGTTAGTTGGTGAGTGAGTTGGTGATTGAGTTGGTGAGTGAGTGGGTGAGTGAGTAGGTGAGTTGGTGAGTGAGTTGGTGAGTAGGTGAGTGAATTGGTAAGTGAGTAGGTGAGTAATTTGGTGAGTGAGTTGGTGAGTGAGTGGGTGAGGGAGTTGGTGAGTGAGTGGGTGAGTGAGTGAGTGAGTGGGTGAGTTGGTGAGTGAGTTGGTGAGTGAGTAGGTGAGTTGGTGAGTGAGTGGGTGAGTGAGTGAGTTGGTGAGTGAGTTGGTAAGTGAGTGGGTGAGTGAGTTGGTGAGTGAGCGAGTGAGTGGGTGAGTTGGTGAGTGAGTGGGTGAGTGAGTGGGTGAGTGAGTTGGTGAGTGAGTTGGTGAGTGAGTTGGTGAGTGAGTTGGTGAGTAGGTGAGTGAGTGAGTTGGTGAGTGAGTAGGTGAGTGAGTTGGTGAGTGAGTGGGTGAGTGAGTAGGTGAGTGAGTTGGTGAGTGAGTGGGTGAGTGAGTGGGTGAGTGAGTAGGTGAGTGAGTTGGTGAGTGAGTAGGTGAGTTGGTGAGTGAGTTGGTGAGTAGGTGAGTGAGTTGGTGAGTCAGTAGGTGAGTGAGTTGGTGAGTGAGTTGGTGAGTGAGTGGGTGAGGGAGTTGGTGAGTGAGTGGGTGAGTGAGTGAGTGGGTGAGTTGATGAGTGAGTTGGTGAGTGAGTTGGTGAGTGAATAGGTGAGTTGGTGAGTGAGTGGGTGAGTAAGTGAGTGGGTGAGTTGGTGAGTGATTTGGTGAGTGACTCACCTCATTTTCATCATCTTTGGCTCCGTTGCTGTCTGCAGGCTTCGCTCGCTCTTTCAACTTCTCTTTGAGAGAATCGATCTACAAACAAACACCGCCTCTAGCATTGAACGATCCATTGGGAGCCTTTAACATTGAACCCTATGGGAGAGTGAGTCTGTGTGAGTTTCTGCGTGAGTGAATCTCTGAGTGAGTCTCTGAGTGAGTCTCTGAGTGAGTCTCTGAGTGAGTCAGTCTCTGATTGAGTCTCTGAGTGAGTCTCTGAGTGAGTGAGTCTCTGAGTGAGTCTCTGAGTGAGTCTCTGAGTGAGTCTCTGAGTGAGTGAGTCTCTGAGTGAGTCTCTGATTGAGTGAGTCTCTGAGTGAGTGAGTCTCTGAGTGAGTCCCTGATTGAGTCTCTGAGTGAGTCTCTGAGTGAGTGAGTCTCTGAGTGAGTGAGTCTCTGAGTGAGTCTCTAAGTGAGTCTCTGAGTGAGTCCCTGAGTGAGTCCCTGAGTGAGTCTCTGGCTCACCTGCCCCTGCAGAATCGTGGTGGTCTCGGTCTCTGCGGAGATCCGCTGGGACATCTCCGCACATTCTCTCTGCATCCTCCCCGTGTCCCCGTCCCTGCCCAGCGCCTCCTGCGCCCGACGTCTCAGGGCCTCCACCTCGCGCAGGAGCGAGGCGGGGGACCGCGGAGACATGGGGGAGAGCGGAGACGGCACGGGGGACAGCGGGGACGGCGGCGGGGACGTGGGGGACAGGGGGGCGGCTCCATCTGCGGGGAGACGGGAGGACGGGGGGTGAGGAGTCGGGGAGACAGCTCCATGTCTCCCTGTGTGTGTGTCTGTGTGTGTGTGTGTCTGTGTGTGTGTGTGTCTGTGTGTGTGTGTCTGTGTGTCTGTGTGTGTGTCTGTGTGTGTGTCTGTGTGTGTGTCTGTGTGTGTGTCTGTGTGTGCGTCTGTGTGTGCGTCTGTGTGTGCGTCTGTGTGTGTGTGTGTCTGTATGTGAGTGTCTGTATGTGTGTGTCTGTGTGTCTGTGTGTGTGTCTGTGTGGACGCTCGTGAAGGACGCTACTGGTCAGTTGGAGGCAGTCGCCTTCCAACAACAACGGAGGGTGGAGGAGCGACGCTAACAACAATGAGCGGAGCGCCGGGTGGCTAAAACACAGCAAGTCGGTACAGTAGGGGGCACAGGTGGTGCATCAGCCAGTCATCTCGGTCATCTCGGTCAGTCGACCCGTGGCAACTGGGTCTGCCCCGTGACCTCCTGTCAGCGGGCGTTCGACACTTCACGTGGCCTCAAGGTGCACATGGCCTGGCACAAGCGTCGTGGTGACGTCACCGCCACTTAGTGGCGAATGGCGGTTGTTGTTGTCTGTGTGTGTGTCTGTGTGTGTGTCTGTGTGTGTGTGTCTGTGTGTGTGTGTCTGTGTGTGTGTGTCTGTGTGTGTGTGTCCGGCAAAACAACCCCCTACCTCCTCACGGTGCTGGATGGGCAACACTGTCGTGGACAGCGCTGTGGGGGGAGGGCCAATGCCCATTGGCCTCTCCCCTCATGGCGTCTGCGACCACCACAGTGGCTAAACGGGGGCTCTGGATGGGTGCGAGGGGCTGGTAACCCCTCCACCCTCAATTCATTACCACTAAACTACGAATGAAACATAAATATGCAACAAATAAGCTTGTGCCGGAGGCCCCGGGGGGACAGGCTTCTACGACGTCTCCTGGCCAAACCCCAATTGGCGGAGCCAGGAGATTGAATCTTCACCCTCGGGGCTCCTCCAGAAACAACAAAAAATCACTACGGATGGCCACGGTGGAATGTTCGAATGCTCACTGCGGAGGAGAGGCTGCCACTCCTTTGTCGGGAGCTGGACTGGTACCGACTGGATCTCTGTGGCATTCAGGAGGTCCGGTGGACCGGTTCTGGCTCCTGCCACCATGAGGGGTGGACAGTCCTCCACTCGGGGCAGGATACTGCCAAACAACGGGGTGTGGCTCTTCTTCTGAACAAAAGAATGAAGGGGGCGTGGGAGCGTGGCGGTGAGGTGTGGGAAGCTGTAAGCCCCAGGATACTTTGGGCTCGCCTTCCCATCAACTGGAGGCGAGGAGTGGTGGTCGTGGTTACTTATGCCCCCACCGAAGACGAACATCCGTGGAGGGATGCAGGCAAAGCCGATGATTCAGATGCCTTCTATGACCTCTTGTCACAGGTGCTGGCTAAATTGGCCACTCGGGACAGAGTGATCTTGTTGGGTGACTTCAATGCCCGAGTTGGTCATGATGCTGGCATCTGGTCTGGAGTGATTGGAAGGCATGGGCCAGATCAGCTCAATAACAAAGGTAGGAGGCTGCTAGATTTTTGTGCAGCCCATGGGCTTGTAATTACCAACACGCTCTTCCGGCATCGGCGCATCCACGCAACATTATGGATGCATGCCTGGTCCAAGCAAGAACATCTGCTGGACTACGTAGTGATGGACCAGCGGATGCGAGCCCATGTCCTTGACACCAAGACCTACCATGGAGCTGACCTGCCCTCTGACCATCGACTAGTCATCTGTAAGATGCACCTGCCATTCTTCCACTCCGGTGGTGGGTGTACACCCAGGACCCCATTCCAACCAAAAGAGGCCTGGTCTCAGTTAGCTGATTAAAGTTGCAAGCAAGAATTTCATCATCGCTTGCAGCCAGGGTTGGCATCGTCCCCCACTCCACCTGATGTCGAGGGTAAATGGGCGAGGTTTAGGACTGACTCATGCAGCTGCAATGGCTGCTTTGGGTACGCGGTCCAGACCTCCCCAGAAACCCTGGCTGACAGAGGAGGTGTTCAGGTTAGTTGAGAAAAAGCGACAGGCCCACTCTCATCGGCTACAGCATCCCACGTCAGAGAATGAGGAGGTTTACCGCAGCCTTCGCTCGGAGGTTCGGAGAGCCGTAAGGCGCTATAAGGATGGGTGGTGGTCGCGGGTTGCTGAGGAGATAGAGTCTGCCTCAGTGGCCCGCGATCACAAATCACTATTTAACTCCATCAAAAAAGTAACCTGCAACACCACACCTATTACCATCATTAGGGAAAAAAACGGTGATCCAATCTCCGACCCCCAGGAACAGGTTTGCAGATTTGCTGAGCATTTCTGTGAGGTCCTGGGGGAGGGGAAATACCTCAGCCAGGAAAACATCGTGGCACAAAGTGGGGATAACCCTGCTGAGGCTGTGGTGCCTCAAATATTGGAAGAGGTCACCCCCTGTGAGTGGCTGGCTGAGGTGCCATCTGTTGAGGAAGTACTGAAGGCGATCCAGAGTCTGAGACCAGGAAAGGCACCAGGCAGAGATGATCTCCCAAGCGAAATGCTGAGGGAGGGTGGCGTTTGTGCACAGACTGCCCTATATGACATCATAACAGTCTTGACCACTGGACGGGTTCCGCAGGATTGGAAGGATGCCCTGGTGGTCCCCCTCTTTAAGAAGGGGGACCGCACAGACTGTAACAACTACAGGGGCATCTCACTCCTCAGTGTGCCGGGAAAGGTTCTGGCAAGGATTATTCAACATCGCCTTGCTTGGCATGCTGAGGAGAGGCTTGCGGAGCCCCAATGCGGTTTCAGGAAAGGTCGGTCCTGCACAAATGCCTTATTTTCTGTCCGTCTGCTACAGCAGAGGTCTAGGGAATTCCAACAAGACATACATCTCTGCTTTATTGACCTGGTCAAGGCCTATGATACCATCAGTAGGCATGGGCTCTGGGTTGTTCTTCGTGCTTTCGGAGTCCCTGACCCTCTGCTCATGATCATTAAGGACCTTCATGATGGTGAGCGGGCCCGGGTAAAACTACGTGGCTGGGAGTCAGAGCCTTTCCCTGTACACCTTGGGGTGCGACAGGGATATCCTCTGGCTCCCACATTATTTAACATCTATTTTGACCACGTAGTTGGTGAAGCCTTCAATAGCTGTACCGGGGGAATTTCCATTTGGTACAGATATAATGGGAGGCTGATCGACACCCGGGTGCGATCAAGGGATGGCTCCCTATTGGTCAACCACGTTATGTATGCCGATGATTTGGTAATAGCTGCTCATTCAGAAGAGGAGTTGGAGACGCTGCTGCTGAGACTGGAGCGTGCCACTAAGAGGTGGGGCCTTACCTTCAGCCCCACCAAAACTAAGCACCTGCCTGGGTATTTTGTACCATCGGACTCTCCACCCCCACAACTCCCCAATCAGTGATGGGGAAGTAGTGGAGAGTGTGGAGTTTCCCATACCTGGGCAGTGTGCTTATGACCAGCTCCAGTTTAACAGCAGGAGGTCTCACTCCGAATCAGTCGAGCGGCAATATCTTTTCATCGGTTGCATAACGCTGTGTGGAAGCTACCTGGTCTGTCGCTCCGCACAAAGCTTCAGGTCTTCTCGGCCACAGTCATTCCCTCCCTTCTCTATGCTTGCGAAACGTGGACCCCCCTAATGGAGCATCTTCGCCGGTTGGAAACATTTAGGCTGGCCTGCCTACAATCTATCCTGGGTTTAACCAGGCTGGATTGTGTGAGGAGCTCACAAATCCTTGAAAGATCTGGGCAAAGTCCCATCGGTGAGCTCCTCCGGCAGGCAAGGCTGCGTTGGCTGGGTCATGTAGCCCGCATGCCCAATCACCGCATGCCCAAGCAATTTTTGTTCAGCCGGATCGAGGGGGCTAAACGGGCGCGACACGGGCTAGAGAGATGGAGTGATGTGGTACAGGAAGACATGGAGCTGAGTGGACTTGCCGATGACTGGTACCAGCGGTGTCAAGATCGGCCTCTGTGGAGGAGGCTCGTGAAGGACGCTACTGGGCAGTTGTAGGCAGTCGCCCTCCAACAACAACGGAGGGCGGGGGAGCGACGCTCACAACAACGAGCGGAGCGCCAGGTGGCTAAAGCACAGCAAGTTGGCACAGTAGGGGGCACAGGTGGTGCATCAGCCAATCTAGGTTATCTCGGTCAGTCGACCCGTGGGCACCTGGGTCTGCCCCGTGACCTCCTGCCAGCGGGCGTTCGACACTTCACGTGGCCTCAAGGTGCACATGGTCTGGCACAAGCGTCGTGGTGACGTCACCGCCACTTAGTGGCGAATGGCGGTTGTTGTTGTTGTGTCTGTGTGTGTGTCTGTGTGTGTCCGTGTGTGTGTGTCTGTGTCTGTGTGTGTCACTGTGTGTGTGTCCCCGTGTGGGGAGCGGTAGTGTAGCGGTTAGCGCGCTGCGCTATGAACCTGGCGACCCGGGTTCGATTCCCGCTCACGGCTAACACCAGTGACGATTATCTGAACCGGTCCTGGGCCTCCCCTAGGTCGACTCAGCCTAAAATGAGTACCTGGTGCGGTGTGTAAACATCGTCACTAGGGAGACAAAGGCGGTCGGGCGTGGTGCTGGCCACCCACCCCCTCGTGTACCGTTCCGGCCTTCATAGGTGCTCGCTAACAGCACTTGCCCCTACAGTCTGTTCAGGCTATACGGGGGATCTTTGTCCCCGTGTGTCTCCATGGTGTGTGGTGTCTCACCCTGAGACAGCTGCCCCCACAGCGTCTCGATCTCGGTCCCCGTGACTCTCAGCTGGGCCAGCGCCTCCTCCAGCTCGTTCATGCGGCGTGCGAGACGCGACACTCGCAGCTTCATCTCCCGGCTCTCCAGCGCCCCTCCCTCCATCGCTCCTCCTCCTCACTACCACTCACCCACCACTCACCCACCACTCACCCACTACTACTCACCACTACTCACCACTACTCACCCACCACTCACCCACTACTTCTACTATAGAGAGTAACTAGCGATACGTAACAGTGATATTAAAAGTAAAAAGCGATATGAGCCAGTGATATTGACACTAACTCGTGTAACTCGTGATAAGTGCCAGTGATATTGAGTCTAACTAGCGAAACAAACGATACGGCAAGGAGTAGAAAACAACGGATTGCAACACGCGCGGTCAACTCGCATAACCGGCACTGCACTGCCGAGTTACTAACAGCGCATTAATCGGCAGCGCACCGCCCAACCTGTGACGCTTGCAGGCCGCACGAGGGAGCCGCTAACGAGCTCCGCTCACTGGGCAGTCGCCACCGCCGGCGCGACGAGACCCACCAGCTGACGGTGCGAGTCTGTGCACTACCCAGCGCCAGCCGCACACAAGCTCAGTACCGAGTCGCCAACGTTCTCCTAACTAGCAGCAGCAGCAGCCGGTAAAAGTGACACTAACCAGCAGTCGGTGAAACCCACGAGATGTGCAACTGGTAAAGCTATGAGAGCAGCAGCAGCCGTCGACCACTCAGATGCATGGATCAGGAATGACGAAACACTCAGAGGAATGATGCAGTACTAGTTGTAATGACTCAGCACTAATCAGGAATGAATCGGCGCTAATTGGAATGAATTGGCGCTAATTGGAATAAATCAGCACTAATCAGGAATGAATCAGCGCTAATTGGAATGAATCAGCGCTCATCAGGAATGAATCAGCGCTAATTGGAATGAATCAGCGCTCATCAGGAATGACTCAGCGCCAATTGGAATGAGTCGTCAGTTCATCGGAACAATCCCCTTTGCTCCGTCCGTTCCTTCTTCTTGTCCGTCCGCCCCTTTTCATTCGCTCCTCGCGCCTTTCATTCCTCAAGTGAATTCCGTTTGGTCCCTCCCCTCCTTCCCTGGCTCCTTCGTTCGCTCCCTCCCTCCTTCCGTTGGACGTCAGTTCGCGGGAACTTTCCGTTGGCTTTTTCCTTCGTTTCGTCCTTCAACTCGGGGCGTCGTTCGGTTGTCCACCGGATCCTTTCGCTCTGTGAATCCTTCCCCCGGTTCCGCGGGCTCCGTGAATCATTCCCGCCCCCACCCCTCCACCCTCGGCGAATCACTCGTCCGGGCCCCGCAAAGCAGCCTCACTCATTGCGATGACCGCTCACTCGCTCGCTCGCTCACTTACTCACTCGCTCGCTCACTTACTCGCCCACTGACTCACGCACTCACTCACTCGCTCGCTCAGCCACTGACTCGCTCACTCGCCCACTGACTCACCCACTGACTCACGCACTCACTCACTCGCTCGCTCGTTCACTTACTTGCCCACTGATTCACGCACTCACTCACTCGCTCCCTCGCTCATTCACTTACTCGCCCACTCACTCACTCGCTCGCTCACTCACCCACTGACTCACGCACGCACTCACTCGCTCGCTCGTTCACTTACTCACCCACTCACTTGCTCATTCACTCACCCAGCCACATGGTGGAATACCAGAACTGACTCGCTCGCCCACACACGCAGACTTTCAGCACACCCCCCAAATCATTCGTGAACTCAAACATTCACTCGCTCTGCGGTCGCTTCTTCGCACGGCTGCATCCTGCGAACACAAAGACGGGCGAGAGAAACGATGATGAACCCGGGGGCTAGGAGATGTCGTCTCCCTCGCCTGGTATACAGGAGGTCGTGGGTTCCATCTAGACTCAAAATAAACTGGTTTTTATTTTACCAGGGAAGGCCCCGGCCATCACAAATGACGGCTCAGCGAGGTGGTTGTCATCGTGCGAGAAGTTATTGCAGCCAAATCTGGAGGACTCGGAGAAAAATCCACGTGACCACGGGGAGAGAGACACGCAAACTCCAAATATACAGCAGCAGCAGGCGTCAGGGTCGGGATCGAACCCACGACCTCCTGCGTACCAGGCGAGGTAGTGAACATCTCCTAGCCACCGCGACGAGTTGTTTTGGTGTGTTCATGGTGGTTAATTGGGAAGTACAAGAGGCACACACAGACACAGCTACCCACATAGACACACAAACACATCACCACCACAACCACCACAACTTCCACCTCTACCACCATAGCCATCATCACCATCACCATCACCTCCACCACCAAAGACAAAGATCCCCCGCATAGTCTCAACAGACTGTTGGGGCAAGTGCTGTTACCACAACCACCACCACCACCCAATACCAACACCCGCAATTCTCCACCAAGTGACGGTGACGTCACCATTTGTCAGAAGCGACCTGGCCACTGTCACGCTGACAACGCCTCCACGCTGGCAAGCCAAGGCCAGGGGGGGCAACGGAGGACACCGGGAAAGGTCCTTGATACAAAATATCTCAGGACCATTCAAACTTGGCGCCCCAAAGCCAAACGCCGACAAGAGGGGGGCCCCCGTCTCCGCCGTTCCGCCCGAGCGACGGGCGGGCGGGCGGGCCGACAAAGACGGCGAACGTCGACTTGTGCTGGGGGAACGCCGCCAACGGGCACGACCGCCACCCTGAGCGGGCTCCATCGGGAGTGGCGCGAGGCCGCACGCGCTCAAACGCCGTCAACCACCTCCAACAAAAACCCGGAAGCTGGCGGGAAACGGACGCGGGGGCAGCGTCGCCCCACAGCACGGCGGAACGCGTCAACGCGGGCGGCCCTGGCCCACGATGCGGCTCCCGGGGGCGGAGTGGCGGGCCTCCTCGCACGACGCCGAGTCGACGTCGAAGTCAACACCGCACTGCGTGACGTCGAAGTCAACACCGCACTGCGTGACGTCGAAGTCAACACCGCACTGCGTGACGTCGAAGTCAACACCGCACTGCGTGACGTCGAAGTCAACACCGCACTGCGTGACGTCGAAGTCAACACCGCACTGCGTGACGTCGAAATCAACACCGCATTGCGTGACGTCGAAGTCAACACCGCATTGCGTGACGTCAGCGGCACCCTCAAGTCCGTGTCCCGTGGCGCCCGGTGCTGGCGGACATTGCTCCGGCCAACGTCCAACGCGACGATCCGGGGGCTTAAATAAAAAAAATCCTTTCTGGACGTCATGACGCCACTCTCTGGCAGCTGAAAATAAAGACTTTTTTATTTTTGCGTATTTTTTATTTGACCCATTGAGCTGCTATGTAGGAGCTAATTGTCACAAGCGACCTGGCTCGTGAAGTGGCTCATCACCATGTGGACATTTACAGCAGGAGCCAAATACCCTAAACGCATTGTGACGTAGATTCTAGACGTGGAGAGAAATAAGTGATTTTTTAAAATACTTTTTAAAACACGCTTTCATGAAATGTACCGTACGAGTAATGGCAGAACTCCAGGACTCCAGGAAGTGGCCCTGAGGCTTGCCACAACGTAAGGGGCCGTGGCCAATTACAGCCAACGTCAGTTGAGCGTGGACAATTAGACCCAAGCCGAAACATAACATATACATAAAGATTGCTTAATTTTTTTTTTATGTTTAATGATAGAATATAGTATTGTCATCAGTATGAAATACGTATACCAAGTTTGCAGTCGATACCACATTGGGAAGTGGGTTGAAATTGAGCTCCAAGATTTGAGGATACGACAACAACAGACAGAGTTGAGGATACAACAGGCAGAGTGAGTTAAATAAAATCGTTGAATAATAAAAACCGGAGGATCTGGAGAAAAATCCAGGCGACTACAGGGAGAGAGAAGACACAAATTCCAAATGTCCAGCTCAACACCAAGTAGGCCTTCACGACCAATACCATCCATATCGCAGGTCTTGTGGGTGAGAGAGCGTAAAGAGATGAATGTGACGTTAAAGCCGTCACCACCAAATACACCGCAGGCATCGCCAGGGTCCGGCTCGAACCCACCAGCTCCTGCGGACCGTGCGAGATAGTGAACATCTCCTAGCCACCATGACACCTGTTCAAGATTTTAAATCTGCGTCTCTCTCTCTCTCCCTATGGTGGTCGCGAATATTTTTCTCTGTTTTTTTCCCTCCACATTTAAAATCAACATCATTATAGCGGCTTGTGCTGTAATTATCCACGTGATGATGATGATGAGCCACTTTGTTGAACTGTCATTTGTGGCCGGGACGCTTCTGAAAAGGAGATTTGTAGCTCAGAGGGCCTTAACTAGAAGAATTAAAATAGTTTTAGTTTAGATTCAGTTTGATGTCTATTGTAGTCAGCAGGAATGACACTGCTGCTGCAGCAACGAGCAATGCCGATTGAACAATTTAATGGCATTTTTTTGCATTGGGATGTTTGGCCAATACCAGTCCCACTGTGTGTGTGGGTTTAGCTACGGGAAGAGATTTGCCTGTGAAGAAACTCATGCTGAGCATGGGGAAATCATACAAACTCCACTCACTCACTCTGGAGACCAGGGGGATATCACTAATACTCCCTCTACCCCTACCACTCACATCGCCTCTACCCCTACCACTCACACCGCCTCTACCCCTACCACTCACACCGCCTCTACCCCAACCACTCACACCGCCTCTACCCCTACCACTCACCACGCCTCTACCCCAACCACTCACACCGCCTCTACCCCTACCACTCACCCCACCTCTACCGCTACCACTCACCCTGCCTCTACCCCTACCACTCACATCGCCTCTACCCCTACCACTCACCCCGCCTCTACCCCTACCACTCACACCGCCTCTACCCCTACCACTCACTCCACCTCTACCCCTACCACTCACACCGCCTCTACCCCTACCACTCACCCCGCCTCTACCCCAACCACTCACACTGCCTCTACCCCTACCACTCACTCCACCTCTACCCCTACCACTCACACTGCCTCTACCCATACCACTCACCCCGCCTCTACCCCTACCACTCACCCTGCCTCTACCCCTACCACTCACCCCGCCTCTACCCCTACCACTCACACTGCCTCTACCCCTACCACTCACCCCGCCTCTACCCCTACCACTCACCCCGCCTATACTCCTACCACTCACCCCGCCCCTACCCCTACCACTCACACTGCCTCTACCCCAACTACTCACCCTGCCTCTACCCCTACCACTCACACTGCCTCAACCACTCACCCTGCCCCTACCCCTACCGCTCACCCTGCATCTACCCCTACCACTCACCCCGCCTCTACCCCTACCACTAACCCTGCCTCTACTCCGACCACTCACACTGCCTCTACCCCTACAACTCACACCGCCTCTACCCCTACCACTCACACTGCCTCGACCCCTACCACTCACACTGCATCTACCCCTACCACTCACTCTGACTCTACCCCTACCACTGCCTCTACCCCTACCACTCACCCTGCCTCGACCCCTACCACTCACCCTGCCTCTACCCCTACCTATCACCAAGCCTCTACCCCTACCACTAACACCGCCTCTACCCCCATCACTCTCCCTGCATCTACCCCTACCACTCACACTGCCTCTACCCCTACCACTCACTCTGCCTCTACCCCTACCACTCACCCTGCCTCTACCCCTACCACTCACTCTGCCTCTACCCCTACCACTGCCTCTACCCCAACCACTCACCCTGCCTCTACCCCTACCACTGCCTCTACCCCTACCACTCACCCTGCCTCTACCCCTACCACTCACCCTGCCTCTACCCCTACCACTCACCCTGCCTCTACCCCTACCACTCACCCTGCCTCTACCCCTACCACTGCCTCTACCCCTACCACTCACCCTACCTCTACCCCTACCACTCACCCTGCCTCTACCCCTACCACTCACACCGCCTCCACCCCTACCACTCACACTGCCTCTACCCCTACCACTCACACTGCCTCTACCCCTACCACTCACACCGACTCTACCCCTACCACTCACCCTGCCTCTACCCCTACCAATCACACCGCCTCTACCCCTACCACTCACCCTGCCTCTACCCCTACCACTCACACTGCCTCTACCCCTACCACTCACACCGCCTCTACCCCTACCACTCACCCTGCCTCTACCCCTACCAATCACACCGCCTCTACCCCTACCACTCACACCGCCTCTACCCCTACCACTCACACTGCCCCTACCCCTACCACTCACACTGCCCCTACCCCTACCACTCACCCTGCCTCTACCCCTACCACTCACACTGCCCCTACCCCTACCACTCACACCGCCTCTACCCCTACCACTCACCCTGCCTCCACCACTACCACTCACCCTGCCTCTACCCCTACTACTCACACTGGCTCTACCCCTACCACTCACACCGCGCCCAACCCTACCACTCACCCTGCCTCTACCCCTACCACTCACACTGCCTCTACCCCTACCACTCACCCTGCCTCTACCCCTACCACTTACACCGCCACTACCCCTACCACTCACCCTGCCTCTACCCCTACCACTCACCCTGCCTCTACCCCTACCACTCACACTGCCTCTACCCATACCACTCACACCTGCCTCTACCCCTACCACTCACCCTGCCTCTACCCCTACCACTCACACTGCCTCTACCCATACCACTCACACTGCCTCTACCCATACCACTTACACCGCCACTACCACTACCATTCACCCTGCCTCTACCCCTACCACTCACCCCGCCTCTACCCCTACCACTCACCCTGCCTCTACCCCTACCACTCACACTGCC